GCTTGTGCTATGCTAATCCTCTCTTGACCACAGCGCTCAATTTTTCGATAGTTTTGAGGTCTGAGATTTGTGCTGCCCACCATGTTAGACGTTTTTCTTGGCATGGAGGAGTTTTTGAAGATGTTGATGAGGTCTTTCCCAAAAATATTCCTTTTTATCGCTTTTAAAACAATTAATTTTTGTTCCATCGGACCATATTACCACTTTTCAGTCCAAAAGCGTCGTGACTTTTACGAAATTTCAGTTTCTTGGGATGTTTTACTTGCTGGCATTTGGCGCCATTGGTTAATATAAAAGGAATAATTAACATATACTCCATACATATTTTCCGGACTTTGTAGACAAAAGCGCAAACCCTGAGGAAGAAGTTGTTTGCCAGCAGGACGGAGATCCAAAAGATTCTGAAAATATTCGACACCGCCGGCTGCTTGAGCAAAATTTTGTAGTGGCCAACACAAATCCCAGACCTCAACGCCTTAGAAAAATTGAGCACTGCGGTCAAGAGAGGATTACCATAGCGCAAGCGAGCTCCGAGTAACATGGAAGAGCTTTGGAGGGGAGTAAAATTATAATGGGGTAATATTCAAAGCGAAATCATAGAAGACCCACTAGAGAGCATTCCCAGACGTATGAAAATCGCTATTAAAAGCAAGAGGGTCTCCACAGTTCTCTTGATATATACCTCCTAAAATCTCAAAACAGAAAAGTTCAAAACTGAGTGAGTACACTGAAAATAAAATTTCGTAAAGGTGCTACGAAAAACTTTCGTAGTCTTGGTTTTTGTACAATGTACGAAACTTTCGTTCATAATACGAATACATTTTTCACAACGAAACAAGATTTTACGAACCATTCGTAAATATAACGAAAGGACTTTCGTAAAGCCTTTTTTCAGTACAATTTACGAAATCTTTCGTTTATTTTACGAAACACATTCGTAAATTAGTGAACAAATCTCTGTACGAAAAATTTTGTATATTGTACGAAGGCATTCGTAATATTTACGTATGGTTTTAAAATTTACGAAATCTACAATTTTGTATTCGTACAATTTACTTAATACTTTCGTACATAGAACAAATGCAGAAACATTTTTTTTTAACTCGTACAACAGACGAATATTTTCGTACGATATACTAAATTACCGTCAGTTTATTATTCCATTATATTTTTATGTACTGCGCGTCATTGCGAAACTACTGGTTGGCTACTGTGAGACGTATAATATAATTTTAAAAGTTTTAAGAAGCTTTTGCTGGATAAAAATTCAATATAAAATTAAATGTTAAAGCTGTGGATAAATGCTTTTAAGCAAACAATGTTTTTAACATCGCCCACGCTGAGCCTTGCTCTGCAATGTAGGACTTCATAAATAGGCAATTTCATCAGTTAACTATCCACCGCAAGCCCAAGCCAGGAACAGACGCACTACTTAATGAAATTTTAAGTAAGTACATGTATGATTTTTCACTGAAACTTGACTTTCAGACGCCTTATAATTTTCCTTAAATTTATAGTCGAGAAAGGAAACAAACATCGAAGAAGCTGCGAATCTGCCAAGTGCCTCCACATAAAAACATTGCAAAACATTTTGTTAAAGAAAAACGCTTAAAATTAGGAATAAAAGCAAAATAAAAGTGTTGTGTTATAATTCGTCTTATGATTTTACAGTGTGGTGAATGAAAGCAATCGGAAGTTCTACGAAACAACCGCAGTTTTTAGGAAAATTATTTCGTTAAATATACAAACTATTTTGTGCATTTTACAAAAATTTCGTAAAAAATAAGGAAATAGTACGAAATTCTTTAGTAATTAGTGCGAAATTCGTTCGTAAATAGTACGAATACGTTCGTAAAATGTACTAAGATCTGATGTCTCATATTTTCGTAGTATGTACGAAAACGGTTTTGTACAATCAACGAAAACTTTCGTGGCTAAAATGACGAAAACTTTCGAAAAATGTACGCAAGTTTTCGTTATATTTACGCAGATTTTATTTTAAGTGTAGAGTTGCCTTGCGTTTTTTCTGTGAATCGCTTATTAGGTTTTCTGTATAGTAGGTTTTATTCCTTGGTTAATAACGATAAATTGCTGAAAATTTCAAAGCAATCCGCTTATTATTAAAAAAAGTTATGTTACTGTAAGTAATAAAATGTTGAACACTCGGTTTTGATCGAGGTAATATTCCAAGCGAAATCATAGAAAACTCAGTTTAGAGCATGCCCAGACGTATGAAAATCGCTATTAAAAGCAATGGATTATCCACAACAATTTAAGTTGATAAAGATTTTTATAGAAAAGTTTGCAAAGAGAAAATATTTACTTTTGTACTCACATTTAGTTGTTTCCCGAAGAATGCCGGTTGCATTCCTTCATTTTAGGTAAAAATTCAAATCATCTCTTGCCATGATAATTCAAAAAATTCAAAATAAAACTTTGAAATACGGTTGCATTCCTTCATTTTAGGTAAAATGCAAATCATCTCTTACCATGATAATTCAAAGGAAAACTTTGAAAAACGTTGCATTCCTTCATTTTAGGTAAAAATTACATAGGAATATATGCGGGTCCAGCCAGACCTATGTGTTATGAATGTGATGTATTAATCAACATGTCTATATATCTAGCTTTATATATATGATACCAACATGATTTTTTTTTACAGATTGGTAATTCACTAAACTTTAGTAAGCGACCTGAAATTTCAAGCCTACAGCTATATTTAAAGTGCATTTTTTTGCAATTTGAAAATGGAAAAGGCCTGGCTGGGCTCATGTATCAGACGAAGGGTTAAAAGGTTTAAGTTTCTTCTTTCTTGGTGATGAGGAACTGAACATGGGTTGATATTCAAGTAAGTTACAGGCTTTTATAAACGCATAGGTTCGAAAACCCGGGTTTTTAAACGTAAATGAAGATTTTGTCGTGTTTGATAAATTTCATATTTCGACATAACAGCATAAAAAACTAAGAAGTTGCATGTTTCAATTCCTGCATGATTTCTATGGTATTTGGTTTTGCAATTACTCCCATTGTTGCGTTTTGTATACTATACACACATATGTACATACTTTGCGTACATACATGAATACAAACACACATGGCATATGTACGAAGCATACACAAGGGCATAGCTGGTATACGCTCTTCATGTGTAAGAAAACGAATCGTTTGAAACGATCTACCTATGCTCGTCAAGGAACGAAGTAGAAATCGTTTTGTTTGCACTCTTTTGCTTTGCAAGGGTACTGGGCTCGAATCGTAATAGTCGTGAACGAGCAACTCGTCACGTAAAAATGTCAAAATTGGATTGTGACAGACGTGAACGCACTTATCGTACGAGCGAATGAACGTAGGCGTTCGTTCAAACTGTCAGTCCATTAATATTTGACGAACGTACGCGCGCAAAATTTGATAAAATTTTTTGAAAAATGT